AGAATAGAATAGAATAGAATAGAATAGAATAGAATAGAATAGAATAGGAAATGAGTAGGATAGAGCAGTGGTGGCGAACCTTTTTTGGCTCCCATGCCAATAATTGCGTGCGCGTGCCTCTGCGCATGCACATGTGTTTCCTGCGACTCCTGCGCATGCACGCCAGATACCCAACAATCAGCTGTTGGGTGGTGGCAGCGTGCTAGCAATGCGCGGTAGGGCTCTTCCGGGTGAGCTCTCACATGCTGGCAGAAGTGGCTAGCATGCCATAATTTCACCAACACGGGGATAAAGAATAGAGTAGAATAGAATATAGAATAGAATAACTTTATTGTCATTTGAATGTACACTAATCGGCAGGGATTAAAATGAAATTTCGTTGCATACAGCTCTCAAAGGATCACCACCTCCAATATACACTACACAGTCATGACCGAATAAATAAATAAATTCAAAATTATGTACATACTGACATATATGATACAGAGAAACAACACAGTCTAGTTTTGACAACTTATTACAGGTTACACTTACAACCGCAATTGAGCTCAAAATTTCTGCTGTTGAGCGAGACATTTGTCAAGGGAGTTTTGCCCCCTTTTACGACCTGTCTTGCCACAGTTGTTAAGGGAATCACTGCAGTTGATAAGATTAGTAACCTGGTTGTTAAGTGAATCTGGCTTCCCCAATTGTCAGAAGGTCGCAAAAGGTGATCACATGACCCCAGGAGACTGCAACCCTCACAAATATGAGTCAGTTGCCAAACATCTGAATTTTGATCAAGTGGTCATGGGGATGCTACAAAGGTCTTAACTGTGAAAAACGGTCGTAAGTCACTTTTTTCAGTGCCATTGTAACTTTGGACAGTCACTAAATGAACTGTTGTAAGTCAAGGATTACCTGTGGGACTTAGAAAACACTTAGTAGATGTGCAAACTGGCTGTTATCTTTACTCACATGTATTAATTTGCATATATTGTAATGTCCCTTTCTGGTCATATTAACATCCATTTCCTGAAATGCCTTCTTTTTTATATTTTGGGGTGAAAGAATGTTTGTAATTCCGTATTCACAGGAACCATTGACATTGTGTAAAAAGGAAAAAAAAAAAAAATCAGAAGACTGAAGGCAGGTAGTCCTTGACTCCCATCTGTTAGAAATGGTGTAGGGTCCCCTGCTTGGGCAGGGGGTTGGACTAGATGACCTACAAGGTCCCTTCTAACTCTGATTATCTGTTATCTGACTTACAACGTTCATTTAAGTGACTGTTCAAAGTTACGGTGGCACTGAACAAAGGGACATGACTGTTTTTCATACTTCTTACAACCATTGTGGCATCCCCAGGGTCGCATGATCAAAATGCAGATGCTTGACAATTGACTCATAGTTATGACGATGGCCCTGTGCCGTTTCGCGATCTTCTGACAGGCAGAGTCAATGAGGAAGCCAGATTCAGTCCAATTTTTCCAATGTGTTTTCTTAGGAGACCAGGGTGGAGAATGAAATGTAAAACTGAGCAGAGCTGAAATGAATACCGTTTTATGTCTCACAATTGCAGTGTTCTGGATTCTTTTCCTAAACCAGGACTCCCCAAACTTGACAATTTTAAGACTTGTACACTTCAAGAATTCTGGGAGTTGAAGTCCACAAGTCTTTTTTTTTTTTTCATTAAAGCAGTTGCATTTATTTTCAGGAATGTATGGTCATCATTATACGGATAGAGAGAACCTTTCTAGCTGTTGGCTTTAGTCACAAGAAGTGTCATCATATTCATCCCATTTCCCTGTGCCTTATTTTTACATAGATTTTTTTTTAGTAATCTTGAACCAATCAGAACTCACAAGTTGTCAGGGAATCTCACTATTGCATCTGCTTTGCAGAATTAACACACTATTACTCACATCTTCACATCCTGGACATAAACTGTTTCAACTCCTACCCTCAAAACGATGCTATAGAGCACTGCACACCAGAACAACTAGACACAAGGACAGTTTTTTCCCAAACGCCATCACTCTGCTAAACAAATAATTCCCTCAACACTGTCAAACTATTTACTAAGTCTGCATTACTATTACTATTTAAGTCCACAAGTCTTAAAGTTACCAAATTTGGAGACCCCTATCCTAAACCGTAATGCCTAGAATTTGAACTTCAGCCTTCATACTTTGAAGCAAAAAAGCAACATTTTGACATTCAATCTGGATGTCTCAGTGATCTGAATTGAAAGACCACCATTCAGCTTCCTTGGTAGATATAAAGTCAAGCCAAATATTCATGGTTTTTCCAATCTGATGGACATATGGACTCAAGAAACACAAGGTTTCATTTTAGCTCACCTCTCAAATCAGGCAGCTGCTGGGAACCACTGTGTGATCAGATATCCTGGTAATTTAAAAGAAATTAACAATATATGCCTTCCAAACTCCTTACATACAGACTCATTCTGAGACTGCATAAAATTGCTTCTAATCAATGTTTCATGCTGTATATCATGGCACCCATATCTCTTGGAAGACCTGCCAATAACAGTTGCAGGGTAATTTATTGGAGTTTTCGAAATATAAATGTTCATTCAACTTGAATTTGAATACCCACAAATATAGTTTTGTAAGATCTCCATCATCATTTCCCATTTCCATTGCCTATATTTAGTATGAGATTTGTATCAGAACGGAAGAAGGATGCAAAGCAAAATGTTTTCAAGGGAAAAAGAATATGTCATGAAAAAAGGAAAGATAAAATAGAGACTGGGTGTTCTTCTAACCTAAGTCTTCTTTCCCCTTAAACCTGGTTTTAACAGCTAATCTCCTTTATATGTTCTTTGTGCCTTCCTTGTTTGAATGCACCCTTGTTAAAATATGTAGGGAGCTATTCCCTATCTTCTAATGCATCTAAATCCCCCCTTTCCACTAGGAATCGGTTTTCAGTGGCTTACGCAGCCCAGAAGCCCTGGCTCTTGAATGCAACGGTGGAAGAAAACATCACCTTTGGGAGTTCTTTTAATAAACAGAGGTAAAGATTTCACACCTGTCTCTTTCTAACCACCAAAGGTCCCAGAATTTCTGCACTTTTTCTAGATTCAGCTGGGACTTGCCATTGCTAACTGGTGTTGTCACACGATGTTTTGCTTAACAACTGTCTTGCTTAAGAATGTCAATTCCAGTCTCATTAGGGTTATTTGGCAGGGACTATTTGTAAAGGTAAATGTCTTCCTGTCAATCATGTCCAACTGTTGGAAGAAATATCCATCTGGTTCAGCCAGGAGAAAGATACTGGAAACATGGAAGCTGATTGGAAAGATGGCTTAATGAAACAGAACCACATGGATGGTCCTGGGCAGCTGACCCCATGGAGTTGAGAGTGAGGGATTTTTATAACTTCTCGTGGGCTTTGAACTTGAGCTTCCTGTTCCTGTGCAAGAACATGTATTCTATTGGCTGCTGACAGACTCCCATGGGGCTATGCAGGGATCATAGCTGAGGTTGTCTGAGCTCTCAGGTTTGGTTGAAGCTTGGCTGATGCAATGTCCTTAGGAGATTGTGCCATGTGGTGAGCTCTGCTGCTAGATGGGTTAATCCTATTATGTCCTGAGGGAACATGTCTTAATCCTATCACCATGGAGCTGGAGGTCTTTTCTCTTTTAGATAGGCTGGCCCAGTCTTTTTTAATGGGCACCAAATATCTGCTGTGGGCAGGAGCTGAAGCTCTGAGTTTCTGTCTCCCTTAGGATTTTTATTTCTCTTCTAGGGGAAATATTTTATCATATATATTTTTTTAAATAAATTTATTTGTTCAACATTTCAACATTTAAAAAACAATTTCCACTTTTTACAATGATTCTGTAATGGTGTTCACACTAGTTAATAAAGTCTATAACTATATCAATTACTTCTCCATTCTATTCACTTATACTCTTATTTCTCGATCTAACTTATAACACTATTAACTCACACCAGGGGTGGGATTCTACAGGTTCACACCTATTCGCTAGAACCGGTTGTTATCATTCTAAGCAGTTCGAAGAACCGGTTGTTAGAAGAAATTACTGGCCTAATCCTGTAAGGAAGGCAGGAAGGAAACATTCTGGTGTTGCTTACAGAAACTGCCTCTCCGTTAACCCTTATTACATTCTTGGCAGGACTAGACTTCCTGTCTCAGGAACTTCTCTGGAGTTTTTTTCCGCTCCTTTGCTGGTACTTTGCTTGTGTGGAGTGACCATTCAAAGTTACAATGACACTGAAAAAGGTGACTTATGACCATTTTTCACACTTATGACTGTTGCAGCATCTCCACATTCATTAGAAGCCAGGGGAGGAGATGCATGCCTTTGAATTGGGTGATATTGAGTTGGCCACACTCAGCCAATAACATGACCACCAAGCCATGCCACCACCTAAGCCACGCCCACAGAACTGGTGGTTAAAAATTTGAATCCCACCCCTGACTCACACACATGCACATATACATATACATATTTTTTATATATATATGTATGTATGTATGTATGTATGTATGTATGTATGTATGTATCTATGTATCTATGTATCTATGTATGTATGGTATTCAGCTTTGTTCGGGTATTTTCCCACGTCATTGTAGTTGTGCTTTTAAAGTTGTAGCAACGTTTCAGCAGAATCTCATCTGCCATCATCAGGCTTCTGTATTGTGTTCGTCTGTGAGTCAGACTTTTACAGTTGTTTCAGTTTTAAATTTGGGGCTAG